AGGGCGGCGAGCCCGCCGCGGCTCTCTGCTCTCCCCGGCGGGCAGAGCGCCGGGGGGAGGGCGGCGAGCCCGCCGCGGCTCTCTGCTCTCCCCGGCGGCCGGAGCGCCGCGGGGAGGGCGGCGAGCCCAGTCGCGGCCCCGCTCTCGGGCCGGAGCGCCCCGCCGCGCCGCCCCCCTCCAGGCGCCGCCCCAAGCACATGCTTGGTGGGCTGGCGCCTGGAGCCGGCCCTGAGCACCATCTATGTGTACTCTGGATGGAGCAGGGGTCCGGTGTGAAATATAGCATGTGATGATGCAATTAAAACCCGTACCATGATGCCCAAGAGAGCTGAATGGAGGTTACAAAGGTTTAAATATAGAATTGCTGCACTGGTGAGTGCTTGACACTGCAATCTTAACGTCCTTTTTGGGTAGGTTTCTGGGTGTGATGTTACATGGAGCACACTGCTGCTTTGGCTGTTTCTGTTAACAGCTCAGGGAGGTAAATTCAGGCCTGTTTCTGCACCAGATGCTCCCCAGATTTGGGGAGAAGTCAACAAATTCCTGCAAAACGTTTAGATTCTGCATCTTCCAAAGGGAAATGTTCTGTCTGGCATTCCCAGTTCTCACTAGCTCCCCGGTCCAACCCCTTCCTCATACACCAACTGTTACCACCCTCTCCCACAGATTCCTCTCCATCCCCTCCCCACGCACCACCTTTAACTGCCCCCAGCTCCTCCTCCATCCCTGTCTAGGATGACCAGATGTCCTGTTTTTAAAGGAACAATCCCGTATTTAAGCTCTCCTGCAGGTGTCCTGACTTTCTTAAAAGCGGGCAAATTGTCGCATATTTTCTGTCTCCCCCACATCAATACTGGCGGGTCCTGCTGCTGGCCAGATCCCTGCTCATCATCTGGTCACCCACCAGAGTGAGTGGGGGGTCCAGTGGCTGACAATGGGGGTGGGTGTGCAAGGCTGGTGACGGGGTGAAGCTGCAGTGCACGGGGCTGGCCGCTTCCCCTGCTTGTCCAGGAGCAGCGTGGGGCCACGACATGCCTGAGCCCTG